CATAATAATAATAATATAATAATAATAATGCAATTTATAGTTTTAAAATCTGATTAATGAATATTTAGTCCATCTCATAAATACAAATATCCGCCCTACTTACATCAAAATTGAATCCAACGGTCAGAACGTCACTAGATCAAAATTATCTGCTGTACTGGTGGGGCGCGTTGGGCTTCATCCCAGCCGTCTGATTTCGCGCGATTGCGTCAGTCCTACGGTCGCGATTCGTGCGAGGAGTTTGCCCCGCAGGCACTTTGTTCCACTGTGTTGAACCGCTCAGATCTATCGTTGTCTAAATCAACGGTGGAACACGCATTGCATATAGGTTTTAAGTTGGGGCGCCAACCCGTTAACCAAAACCACTACGTGTGTGTCAATATATACATCAACGAGACCAGATCTGGAAACCTCGAACTTGACGAGCGAAGGAACCGGAGGGGGCGGTCGACGGCGGAGTCGCCGATGCGATCCTCGCCAAGTCGAAGCAGTTCGATCGACTCGTACTGGTCTGCCCCTCCTCTTCTCTTCTATTCTTTTCGCTCCACGCTGTGACTTCCCTTTCCTTCCCTGATTGTTCGGTTGGGAGTTTGAGATGGAGGGTTGTCGTTGACGTGATACATTTCGTCTTGACACTTCCTTTTCTGTGATCTTCGTCGATCTGGCTTTTCTTGATTTACTTGGGCGTGGATGCCAAATTGAGCGATTCTGATGCAATTGTCGCAAGAAAGAGGGATTATGGTTGCCTGATTTGCCCTTTCGAGTTGTAGATTCAATAAACAGTTGGGGCAAGCAAGTGGACGTGGATTGACATTTCTGACAATTGCTTCCTCGCAATTGCAAAGATTTAGGGTTCTCGAATACTCTTGATTGTGTGCATAGATTACTTCAAATGATAATGCATCTCTTATCTACGAATGCTGATTTCTACAAATCACATAATGACGATTTCCTTTGATGATGTGTGTTTTCCTTTACCTATTACATGAGCAAAATTGAGATCAATGGTGGAGCCTTCCTTTTCCGATACAACACTAATTGAACATACTGTTCACCTTGCTAATGCTAGAGTTACAATCTTCGGCAGGCAATATCACTGAAGACCAGATGTTGACGGTAGATGGCCATCCAATTACTTTTTATTATCTTGTAAAGAGCCGCTGGCAATGCATGCTCAAACTCCTAGAAGCAGAGATGATAGACTCGAACAATTTCATCAAGGTAAGCAATTCAACCTTTCTTTTTCTTGGTTGGATCTGCATAGGCATATTCCGTATTTCTTTTTAGTTTCAGTACATTGTCAGGAGCTGAATTTTCTTTCCGTAATATCCTTTTATGTCCTTTGGCCCTCTCAAGTATCTGACGCAGCCAGTTGTAGGGTCTCCATGGTGGTTCGGTGCAAATTGGAACCGAACCAGGCCGAAATCGGAAACGAACCTGGTCACTGGTCCGGTGGTTCCAAATCGAATTGGAACCATCGCCATATAGTTCGGTTCTGGTTCCTAGATTTAACATAAATAGGTTTCATAATATAGTAGTGGTTAATACTTTAGATTTGGAAGTCTATTGATCTGGATTTGAATCTTGGTAGAGTACTTTATTATTTATTTATTTATTTGAAATCAGTGAATCAGAACCGGAACTAAACTTACGATTTCAGTTTCGAAACCGGAATCGGCGATTTCAGAATTGGAACCAGTTTAGTTCTAGTTCCAAATTTGGTGGAGTCAGAACCGACGATTTCCGGACTGTAGGCACGCCGAACAAGTTGATTGTCCATTGGTTGCACATAGCTTGGTAGAAATATATTTGCTAGTTCGGCTGTAATTTTGCTTATTCATTGTTCACAGAATTAATTGTTCGGTGCAGTGCTTGTTCTCTATGGTTAACAACTTTTGCTGGAGGCCTTGAAAGATCATCCAGCAATATTTTGACATTCTAGTTGGACTTGCTAGTAACTGAAGACTACCATGGCCTTGGATTATTTGATTTGGAGATTCCTTTAGCTCTTCTCTGACTTTGGAAGAAAGTCATACCGGAAGGGATTATATCAATGTTAGTTTCTTAGGTATAGATCACAAATAGATAGAACATTGGTTTCTCTTAGTAGGTAAATGTAAGAATGCTTCCTACAGGTATGAAAAGGAATATAGAGATTTTGTTTCCACGTTATTGAGGGTAATGACACTAAGTGAAGTGAATTCATTTCGTAGATTGTCCTCAATGCAAACTAATAGGATTGTCTCTGTGCAACAACAGATGGGATCCAACTTTCTGTAGAAGGCTTTAGCTGCCACCTCCCCTTGATATGAGGTTGCAGATATTGACTCCTAGGATGATCACCCATGTTTCTTAGTCCTAATTTTCGAAGAAGGCATTGTCCCATCTGACGCTCAACTCATAGAAGCCTTTGTTAAAAGCTCTCCTGCATTTTGGAGCGGAGATGATTTTTTTCTTACAAGTAGGAGTGATAAGTGGGACAAGAGAATCCAAACATGCGATCAGAGCTCGACAACTCATGCAATATTAGTAGATGGCTTCCTCGGGGCTCATAACGCGAATTTGGATCGTGGTAATAACAAAGTGAACTTATAGTAGGAGAAAGAAATCTTTTCCGACGGAAAGGGCAACGGACACAAGATATTACTCTGATATATAAATGAGGCTATATCGATTAAGAAGATATAGAATTGACCTTGCCGAGAAGATATTGTGTCACGATCCATCTTATTAGGCTTGTAGTTATAGATAAATCGATGTAGATTAGTTGAGATGAAGACGTCAAATGATATATGTCGAGGGAGATGTCAAATTCTAATGTGTCAGGTATTCTTTTCTCGTTAAAAAGAATTTAATTTAATAATTAGAGATTGTAAGGAAAAAAAATTTTAATTAAAAATTTTATAATGATTAGTCTGAGTCAAATTGTTAACATATATGAGGTCAAATATTAATTTAATCTAAAAACAAAGGCTTATGGACTATGGGCTAAACATAGTATATGTAACTCAACTCTTTTAATCGTTATAAGACTATCCCTCATTCCATCTCTTCTTGTCTCATACACAAATGTTTTTAACATTTTTACTCTTAATATGTATTATTTTAATCATTGAAAAGGTTTAACTAATTAGAAGTATATTTAGGAGTGATATACACTTAGCTATACGAGACCATCCTCCCATTTCATCTCTTCTTATCTTAGACACATAAATATTTTTAACATCTTTACCCCTGATATTTATTATTTTAATCATTAAAAAGGTTCATCTGATTAGAAGCATATTTAGTAGTGATATACAGTAGCTTTTTCTCCGGATGTATTAGGACAAAACATCCGTGTTAGCGAAGCTATTGATGAAGGGAGCAAGGATAGTAACCTGATAAATAGATTGTTAAGATGAGCATGTACGAATAAAAAATTGCAAATCGCAATTTTTATTTAAATAATTGCGAATTGTCCTATTTCAAATTAGGAAAACTAACACAGCCGAAAAAGTAGACAAAAAGGACAAATGTATGACAGTTCTGGCAATTGCGAGAATTTGGCCATCAATAATACGATTTCTTTTTTAGCTTTATATCGTGTCAGGGAACTGCGTCAGGTGGAGAGCACCCTCCTCCACGGCCGCGGCCGAGCTCACGAAAAGCGCCGCCAGCGCAGCTGCCGAGTTCGGTGTCGCTGCCCACTTCTTTTCCTGTCCGCTAAAGAAAGGGAAGGGGGGAAAGCCCACGTCGCCATCCCCTTGACCGTCCGATCTCGTTCCCCGAGCGCGACAGACGTATCACCGCCGTCCGAGGCGCCTCGTCGAGGGTTATCGGAAGCGCCCTCCAAGTTCCACCCGGCAGACATGCGAGGCTGCTGTCAGAGGGCGTCGCCAGTCCCGTGATGCGAGTTAAAATGACCACCTCCCGCCACGGCGGTCACGTGACCACCGCATCTTTGGGCGTGTCTCTCCTCCGTGGGCAGACCCACGTAACGGGAATCTCCGTGGTATCAGTTCGTAAATAACCGACAATGTCCGAGGGTGTTATCGTCGATTTAGGTCTCCGGCCGGTTCCCGCTCTCCCGCCTCCCCAGACCGCGCCGCCGTCCGCATCGCCGCGAAGCCCATCCACCGCCTCAGTGTCCGCTCCTCCTCCGCTGCCCGCCTTGCTCCGCCAGCGCCGGTGGGGTTGGCCCTGCCGCTTGGCATTCGGTGCACCCCCGCGATCTCCGACGCACATCTGGAGGCGGCCGCATCGGCGTCGCCGGGGGCGGTCGAGGACGACAGGGCGCGAACGGCCTTGGACGCCGAGAACCGCCCGCTCTCCGTGATGATCATCTCCCTCCGCAGGAAGAGCAGATCCGTCGGACGGAGGTCGCTCCACCGGTCCAGGCGGACGTCGACGTCCGAGACCACGATCCGGTGGCTGTGCCGCCGCTCGAAAGCCTCCCTGTCCTCCGTCGCTTCGGTCGGCAGAAGCTTGTCCTTCCGAACCCTCGGCGCCCCGGCAACGGCAGCGTCGACGCCGGGTTTTCCGAAGCCGGGTAAATCCGCCGAGCGCCTCCATCTCGTTCCGGCCGGTTCGGCCCGATGGACCACGATCTGGAGGGGCTCGCTCGACCGCTCACCGGCGGATGAGTGCCGCCCGGATATCCTGCGCCCGAAGGGGTTCGGTGCGACAGTGGTGGCCCCGTCACCGCCGCCCTTGGTATCGGCCTTCTCCCCGCCACCCCCGCCGTGGGACTCCGGCACCGAGCGGGGGACGAGGAGGACGTCCTCCGGGTCGACGCGGACGCGACAGAGAGGGCAGGTGGAGTGGGCGTCGAGCCACGTATCGACGCATTCGACGTGGAAGCCGTGGCGGCACTTGGGCAGCAACCGGAGCGCCTCCGTGGGCTCGAACCGGCTCAGGCACACTGCGCACTCTAGCCCCTCCTTCTGCCCCTGCAGCGACCCGAACCGGAAGACCGGGAGCGACTCGACCACCGCTCGATCCACCCCGGAGTGCCGCCGCTCGGAGGCGGAGGGCGGGAACCCCCCATTGGCGCTCCCGCCAGCGCCGTAGGAGGCAGCGCTGCGCTTGCAGTGCCGGGCATAGAGGAGGAGGAGGAAGGTGAGGGAGAAGATGATGGTGAGCACGCCAACGATGACGGCGATGCCAGGCCGGAACGGGGCCACGAAGGAGGAAGGGTGGAAGGAGGGCGAAGGGCTAGGGGCGGCGCCGACGTCGAGGTCGTCGGCAGCCGCGGTAAGGAGGTGACGCGGGACGAGGTGGGTGACGAGGTCCAATTGGCGGTGGTGGAGCGACATTGTCTCGCGTGCCTTCCAAGCGGGACGGTGATGGTGTGTTGATATAACGAAGGGCGGTGACGGGACTCCGTCGGTGACGAGTGTGGCGCGGGGAGGATAAGACGACAAGGCCATCGGCCCCTCCAATCTCATAACCGAATGGGCCCGGCCTCGCTTTTTGATTGTCCTGTTTCGCCGGTGAGTGTAGGGGACCGGTGCGTCGCCTGCTAAAGCGTGCGCCGAGGCAGCCCTACGAACCCGGTAAGCGCCACCGCTGATGTCGGGACACCGCCACCTGAGAGGGGAGCAGAGACGTCCGCAGACACTACCCCTGTTTCGAGCATTAAAAAGGCATTGAAGGACTTCAGTGGCCGTCGAAATTACTCTTTTGTCCTGACCTCCTCATCGATCCAATTAGATCGGTGATCCCATCAATTAAATTACATGCTGACTTGGGGGCAAAGTGTGATATGAACTGGCTGGGTTGGGTAGATGTTGAATTACCAAAGTACAGGTGGAGAGTGGTGATGACTGGTGAAAGTGTGATGGCAATTTTGAGGGGGGAGCGAAGTGCGCGCCGAGCGTTTCTTAAATGCAGGCATTAAAAGAATGGCGCCCGGGCAGTGCACGTGAACTCCTTAATTATTAGGAGTTGGAGCTCAACACTAGTCGATGAGTCCTTGGCATTTATCATCCTAGGGGTCGGAAGAAATAAGAATCCGGGGGGACGAAGAAATATGTTTATCGAATTACATTCACCCACCCCAACAACTGATGGGGGGGCTTCACTAGCGATGATGTGCCTGCGCGTCGTCATTGGCTGTTTAATCTAACTAGTGTGGGAATAGAAAGTTTTGGATGCTGCGAAGCAGAGATCTGGAAGGATGCTGTCTATTTGTTTTCAGCTCTCTCTCTCTCTCTCTACTCGTCTCAGAGACTTCACTGTTGTTTGGTTTATGCAGTCACATCAGTCAAATTTGTTGGTTGGGTCTTGTTGAATGATTACGATTTGATTCGTGAAATGCGTCGGGGTGGGGTTGAGGAAGCCAGCAGGACGGTTTTGCACGTTAGTTGTCACCTCAAATTTCAAGGAATAGGACAGGTTGCATTCCTTTCAAAGACTGTGACCTACATTGACCATAATTTTAGGGAGAATATGTTTTCTTTTTCGAAATGGAAATGATAGGAGAGGTTCAAAGAGTTTAGGGACTAAATATACATACTTTGGTTTTTTCCATGAAATTGGCCACTTGGGATGCTCGACTATATTTGGTCTGAGATGTGGCTTCATCTCAGGGTGTGCTGTTGTGTACAACTAAAACGTCTGAAATTAATGGTTATGTATAAACCCATTGCTATATAAATAGTAGTCATTAGATACGGATACAAATGAGTTGTTATCCATGTCCACTTATTAGTAATTCAACCTCTTTTTTAGATTATATATTATAAGTTAGATTTTGATAATACTTGGATCTAACTTGTGTCTAACTTCCGATCTTGTCACGGATTAGGTGTCGAGAAAATAATTAAAAAAACATGGATAATCCTTCAAAAATTATGCCAAAGGCGTGTCCGACAAGGATCTATATAATGCTTAAATTGATTGGAAGTTTCGAGAATTATAAGAGAGTTTATTTTATTAGATAGAGTAAAGCATGTACTTGAGATACATCAAGGTGGCTATTATAATGAAGAGTTAATTTTGAACATGGTTAATGATTAAGCAAAGTAGTTGATCATCGTAGAGCTTCGAGGTCATGCATCAAATTATGAAATGTTTACAATTATGGAGTAATGGTTCGTATAAACATTGGGGTCACATTGATGTTGGGAATCACTAGTTATCATTGTGGTCGAATGAACCATCCTATTGGTGTGAAATCATCATCCCCTAGAACGAGGATTCGATTATCATATTGGGTTGATTAGATAGTATAATGTATCTTATGATTACTTATGTGTCATGACCTTATGCCAATGTGTTAGGATATTTTTTTATTGTTTGAGCTAGATGTTGATTCAAATCCAACTTCATTCCTTTCTCGAGTCAATCTCAAGATAAACTCTTCCAAGTAGTGTGGAAACCATGCAAAACTATGTCAATGGCACTTTCGATAATTTTCCTCCGAAGCTTGAGTTAGCAATCTAGTCGAACTTCAATCGTACTATCTTAGGACGTGCTTACACACCCCCTTTTATAGTGGGTGTTTAGGATTGTTACATTGGTTCATTTCGTGATTCGTGTAGTAATAGAGGCGTGAAGTTCAATCGTAATTGTCAGTAGCCTATGTTGAATTTAGGGTTACATAACTACCCCTTGCATGACAATCATCGGAAACTTTTCCTCGAAAGGAGTTTGTAAGATGTTGAGACGATGATGAATAGTTAGCTATGTGACTTCGTCATATCGAACATGTGGAGCCCATTGGTAAGCTATATAAAGCTAACATGTCATCATGTGAAAATGATGTATCGATCACGTGGAACACATGTTGATCATATCGAATCGGTTCATCGACCACATAATCCGATCGTATTGATATCAGTCATAATTTTTATCGAAACATAATGTAATATTAGTTTATCAATTAATTTTTTATCAGAAAAATGAAAAAAATAATGATATGTTTGTTTCTCACCGGTAATAATAAGGCATGTTGAGCTTATTATAGGGTGATTTGTGCATGAGCGAGCATATTGGCATGTACAATATCCATAGACAGAAGAAAATAGAGTAAAGCTGGGTCAAGTGGGTGCAGCGATAGTGTGTGACAAGAAGCAATTAATCAAGGTGACGTTGGCTGACCAGTGATCACGCATTCAGCTTCCAGATCATCAATGCAAGCATGGAAGCAGACAAATCCCACGGTGAATGCACAGTAGAACCGTTGAAGCAGTATAAAAGCAAAGGGTGAAGAAACAGAGAGAGAGAGAGAGAGAGAGAGAGAGAGAGAGAGAGTGAAGGTAGCAAAATTCCCTATATAACTCTGGTGTCCTTTACGTTCACGCCACCCGATCCTCGTGTCAACGAAGTAAGAATAAGTCAAATCAAATCAACATTACGAGTTCGGTGGGTCCAGTACGCGGATCAATGAATCTATCTCGGCTTCCGGAGGAGCATGGAGAGAGAGAGAGAGAGAGATGGTGGTGCAAAGGGACAAGTAGGAAACCGACGAGGCTACCTTTACTAGCATCCGTATCATTCCCCCAACTGTAGCAGCAAGCAGATAGGATTAACTCCACGAAGCTATGAATTAGGCTCTCGGTAGGTGAAGACGGTGGCTCGCATGTGAGGACATAATCCTTGCCATGAGAGACTCACCTAATTCCATGTACTTGGACGCAGGCAGATCATAAAGAAAAATTGTTTTGCCAATTTATCACACATACCCACGACATGAGCCTCCATAATCCATCCGCGGCCAGCTTGTTATACTATTACTCACTGTACATGCTAACAACTTATTTCATACGAAATGATTTATGTAGCTAGTATTGCATGATTTTACCGGAAACACCACATTACTAGTTATATATATATATATATATATATAATTCAATCATGAAGTGCAGTGATACGTCACATCAGTCAGGGATAGCATGCGATTCAAATAGTAAAACCCTTTTTGACTGGTTAAGTGGTTTGCATTTATTCGTCTTAACCAGTTGATGGATCCAAGTAGCAGAGGGAACAGCTCCGCTTTCCCGGGTCCCACCGAATACGTCGGCACAGGGTTTAGCCAACAGGGTCAACCATCCCCATATATTGATCCATTTAGTGTAGGGGGATTTTGCATAGAAGCAAAACATTCCCCCTACCCTTTTTGTAATTAAAAAAAAAATCTTTAAAATAAAAGCTTATCATTTGTCATTTATTGAACCATGGCCGACACCATCACTCTTCTTCTTCTTCTTCTTCCATCAATTCCAATATCAGGAATTGAATGCCTTAACGAAGAAACAGTAAAGATAGCAATGCTGGTGACAGCGCGGCTCTTTGTGAACCGGTGGCTTGGGAAAAGAGTAGCGGTCGGGACCCCACAAGTTTACAAGACCGGGCGGTGGCCGCACATCCGACAACATCTTGTCACGGCGCCATGAGATTTTTCTCGAGATATCAGGCGGTCCTGCTTGGGTCTCAGATCCAACGACGGTGTTTGCGCACAGTCCATGACCATGGGGGTCCTCCGCCATCACATGGAGGTGGATCGTCGTTTTCAGCTAGGTTGGCTGAATCGATCGGACACCAGCCATGGCCTTCTTCTACTGAGAAGGCGTTTTCTTTTTGTTGTGGATATATTATGATTGGCACTATCACGATGGTGCAAACAAATATCTATCACGCCAGACATATTTGCACCTGTCGGATCTTATAACGTTGGCTTAAGAGACTTATTAGGTTTGGATCATATGAGTAGACAAATAATAAATATCGTAATCAAATTTCACCGGATCTAAGAGTGAAATTTACAAGTATCAAATATATTATCATCATTCATTCTGAGATGATAATAAATTTGCAAAGTTTTGAAGGTACTATGGGTGAGATATATAATTCGAATGTTCAAGAAATGACATGTTATCACGTTGAACACCATGTGGCTCTCAGTATAGATGTTCGCCCATGAGCTTCGCAGTTGTACGTGGGCTATCATATCATCATATCTAGAATTTACTGAAGGATTAGACCTCGTCAGTTCGAGCTTGGTCCAGTATAAAACCTAAATCGATCAGACTATGTTTTTATTTTTTATTTTACCGATCAGTCTATGTTAGTAGGTCTGCTGGATACACCTTTTTCTCTTTCAAATGTTTTTTATTTGTATGAAAGTAAATATGCATCTAAAGATGCCTAATTTGATGGATTAGTAGTTCAAGGTGGTAGAGGTTCTAAACAATTTTAACTTACAAAGAAAAAGCAAGCAATCTAGGGTGGATTTATGTAAAGAGTCACATATATAGCCTACAATAACGGAAGGTGACTTTTTCAAAAGTACCAATGATAACAAATACAAATCACCCTAGTTGATGGGAACAAATTATAACTTAGAGTGCATCTTAAGTCTGACTGTTAAGCTAACCTAATTTGGGAAAGTGAAGGAAACTCTAAATCATGGTAAACTTAATATTCACATTTTTATGTCTCAGATAAGTTACATAACAGTTTCTAATAATGTACTTATTTATGTTATTAATGATTGTGTCGTCGTTAAAAAAAAAACTTAGGGGCAAAACCCCTAAATAATAAAAGTCCGGTCTTATCAACATCCATTTGAAAATATTTATGTACAAAATAAAAAGATACAAAATAAAAAGATAATTTCATATAATTAAATATCGGAAGAGTCAGGTTACAGGTTTGGACCATAACTAAATTGACGTGTGACCTGATATGCATTAATCTTGATAAGATTGACCCAAACTTATAATTATTCGATTTCTGACAATCTATTTCAAGAAACAAACCTTAAAATACAAATTAATGTCACTTCAACGACCAACAATAGAGAAAAAACATAGATAAAAGTATGAAAAATCTTTATATATTTAAAAATCATTGGTCACTTTATCAAATTCTCTTGATAAAAAAGATATAGAAACCAAACTTTATATTACTCGGCTTATTTCTTTTTTATGATTAAAGTTATCTGTTATGCCTCCAAAATGGTCTGTGGACTAATGATTCAGGTTTTAAAGGATAAAAAGTTTTGACGTATTAATGATTAAAACACGTTACATTGCATTTTATTTGATGATTATGCTATTCAAAACCTGAAAGAGAACTCATTAAGTTTTCTTCAAGTAAGAAGGTAATATGATCAAAATGTGACTCGAGATGAAAATCTGCATGTTCTAATCCGCACTACCAAAAGGAATTAGAGCCTGCCAAATTACAAGGGAGAGCGGGCCGAAGGATCTTTTCCGCATTGATTAGGAAGGCAAGCAAAATATAACTCACCCATGACAGCCTAAACGCACTCGGCGTCATAGCTTAATACATACCATCCGGCCATGCCTAGATGCGGCTTGAGATCGCAGAACGAAGCTCATGAATGCACGGCAACGTTCTAAAGTTTCCTCTCCATGGAGGCAACTCCTTTAGTTGGAAACCCCCTCGTCACTTCCTTATCGCCCGACAACGGCATGATCACAACGCGTCACGGTCAACGTCGGTCTCTAAAAACGACACTCTAACAACAGCTGGAAAATCCAGCCACCCCGATGTCTCTCCTCTCACCCAACCCTTCTACTCTGCACCCGCCGACGCTACTGGCCTTGTGATTGAACGGACGGCCGGGACCATGGGTCCCAACTGCTCTAAGTGCAAGGGCAACATATAAACCGGTGGTGAAACGTAACTTCACATTGTTGTAGTGCTTGCCATGCACGCTATAAAAGAAGAAAAATGAGCTTTGTGGGGATTGCATCGTACCTGATGACGCCACCTGGCCAGTCGCATTCAAATATCGGAGGAGCCGCCCGCTTTAGTGGACCATGATCACGAGGCTTTCGTCCGAGGCCGCTCCACCACTTGAAACAGCAGCACCATGGCCGCGTCCGCCGACCCCGCGTCTCCTGCACATTGCCAACCCATAGATTATTATTTAGCATACAGCAACGCCACCATCTCATCTGCTATATATAACGCCCCAAACCCCATTGCTTACATCGTCATCTGCTTCCCCCTCCTACGAAGCTTGTTAACGTTTCTGCTATTGCATACCATGGCAATGAGGTTTTTTTTGCTGGCTTGCTCCTTGGTCGCCGTTGCCTCCGCTGGTAACTTCTACCAGGACTTCGACATCACCTGGGGCGACGGCCGTGCCAAGATCCTCAACAATGGTCACCTCCTTACCCTCTCCCTCGACAAGGCCTCCGGCTCCGGCTTCCAGTCCAAGAACGAGTATCTCTTCGGCAAGATCGACATGCAGATCAAACTCGTGCCCGGGAACTCTGCCGGCACTGTCACCGCCTACTACGTAAGCTCTTCCCCCAGACATGCCTTCGCTTTCATGGCTCTAGTTGCCGGAGCTGATGCCTTAAGCTCGGCCTGATTTGTTATTGCAGTTGTCTTCGCAAGGACCGACTCATGACGAGATCGACTTCGAGTTCCTCGGGAATCTCAGCGGAGACCCTTACACTCTGCACACCAATGTGTTCACCCAGGGGAAGGGGAACAGGGAGATGCAGTTCAAGCTCTGGTTTGATCCCACCAAGGATTTCCACACCTACTCCATCCTCTGGAACCCAAGACACATCATGTAAGACCTCAAAATTCTGTATGCGGTAAAACGAACTTACCACAGGTGAGACATGAAATTGAATCTTACCGCTGGCTTGTGATGGTCTCAGCTTCATGGTTGATGGCACTCCCATCAGAGACTTCAAGAACCTGGAATCGAGGGGCATTGCATTTCCCAAGAACCAACCCATGAGGATCTACTCCAGCCTCTGGAACGCTGAGGACTGGGCTACCAGAGGAGGGCTCATCAAGACCGATTGGACGAAGGCACCCTTCGTCGCCTCCTACAGGAATTTTAATGCCAATGCATGCATTAAGGCTTCCGGTAGGTCCAGCTGCACGCCTGCCAAGAGTGGGTGGTGGAACCAAGAGCTGGATTCCGCGAGCCATGCGAGGATGAGATGGGCGCAGAAGAACTACATGATCTACAACTACTGCAACGACGTCAACCGGTTTCCTCAGGGCCTGCCTCCAGAGTGCTCCATAGCTTGAAGATTAGATCATTCTTTGGTTCATTTTGTACGCATACCAAAATACATTCTCTAGATGCTGTTTTCGAATAAGCAATATACTAGTCTCTCTGTCTCTCTCTCTCTCTCTCGCTCTCTCTCTCTCTCTCTCTCTCTGTTGATCAAGCAGTCCTTTTACTTAAATTCTAACTAAAAATTCTCCACAGTATTAAACAAAATTGAAGCTAACGTTTAAAGCATCATAAACCTAGACTCAAGAAAGGAAAACAATTATAAAACTTAAGTAATGCATCTACAACCAACAGAGCTACCGATGCATGCAAACATATCTTCACAATATCTGACTCCTCATTATATCTTTTAAGTTTCTGTCCAACAAACTTGCTTGTTTGATTTGCTACCTCTATTTTCAGATGCAACTTTCTTTTCTTGATGGTCTTCTATTATTTTTTTTTTTTTTTTTGCAATAGATACTGCGAATGTTAATGACAACTAAAGGAGCTTTTACTTCTGATGGCTCTTTGTCATTAACATCAGTGATAATCCATGACTGTAACTTTATAAAAATGCTATCTAGAATGGCTTCCTATAGACTCTTGTTCTCATCCTGGTTAGGTCAATTATCATCACGCCCATGTAGGACAAAAATGATTTCACATCCACCTCTGTTTAAAAAGCAAGCCAATCATACTAATGCTTGCTAAAAAAATCATATTAATAATTATATTCTACTACAGATACATGGGCATCTGTTTCCCAACCTAAGACAACATGATGTAACATGAACAACTATTCTATTAGTTCCACATTCATAAAAAGGATACGACTTGAAAGAAACAAATTTGGATAATCAAATATTTCTGATGTTTCATTAGGACAGACAAACTTGAGTTGGTTAGCATACAAAGAGCATGTCAGAGAACCTCTCTAAGCTAACAACACCAAATGTTCTTTTCTTGTTAATTTACCATATGTTTAACCTGTATTGATGTACTTTTTTATCTGTGTCAAAATTAGTCGTATGTCAATAGTGCAGATCAACCCAACAATCATGAACTATTCACACATCAGTCATCATCAGGCAGAAAACTACACAGTGCAAAAATATAATTTTAGGTCTCGCTCAGGAGAAACTTGATCATTCAAGTAACTAGCTTGCTTGAACAAAGAGGTGAGGACTTGGCCTGTACCAAATCTCCAAACGGAGTTCCTTCTCCTAGACAGTACTTCTAATGTTTCAACGAAATTGTGCATAGTCTACCTGGGATTTTTGGAAAACAGCAATGGAATAACAACTGTAAACTTGATAGGTATAGAATATATTCAGTATATTCATAAGTACCAGGGCAGTTAAGACATTTAATCACCAAGTACAATTTTCAGTCTAAACATTTGCTTATCTAATTTTATTCACCTATCTAGTATCATTAAAACAAAAGATATTGTTTTTTGCATCTTATATTCATCTTAAGTATGCAATACTGTACTTCCTTTTCATGTTAGCTTGTTTCCCAAACTACAACTCATGCAAAATTTCCACATGGATAACACATACTTTTATGGTTAGTCCATGTAAATTTCTACAACATGGTCAACATTAACTTTAATAAACTTTTAGACATCATTACTAACTTACCAATATTTGGTAAATCAGATAGTTGTAGAAGTATCCACCCATCTAGCTGATGAAAGCCATAAGACAGCTAAATACTCTCTGACCTGGAAAACGAATATCCTTGTTTACATGAAAATAAAGATTATTAGAACTAATAAAAGACTGTGATAACAAAAAGATGCTGATTATTGATCAGTTGCCAAAGCTAAATGTACCAGGCAGGGGGAAGATGGGATATTAGCACAGCAAAAATAACAAGAGTTCCTTTAAATACTCCCAGACAAGGTCATGTATGCAAATTAGAATAGGAAAATCAAATACTTCTTTTTATGTTCATATGTCTGTGTCTAATTACACACTAGAAACAGATGCAAGGTTATAAGTTTTACAAAAACATCCTTCCAGACCACATAAACATCACGCAATCAATAGCCTTTAAGACACTGTGTTTGCCTTTACATTTAGCTTGAATTTGAGCAAATAGTTAAATTAGTGCACTGTGTTTGCCAGAAAAACTCTTTTGTTGGCACAGCTTATTCTATATCACTACATTAAAACAGTATAGAGCTCTCTTAAAGTTGGGGAAAGTATAAGCTGAAGTCACACCAACTTATGTGCACATCAAGCTTTCTGATACATCAACTATTTAAAAGCCCATGAACACTAATTGAACCTGGAAGCATTTATCCTCTATCTTATGTAAGCTTCTAATTTGGCGATACCACAGATCATATGTCTAATTGCAAGAGAAGATTCAGTTGTCCTAACAGAAAATTTTGATCCACAATAAGACAAAGCTATTTTGATCCAAAAATATCAAAGTAACATGAAAACATAAAAATGGGGCACAGATGGTATGAAATGTGGCAATTACAGATAATGTAGTCAGCAACCAAATGAGAGAGGGAAGCTAAAGTATAAATAAGTGAAGAGAAAACCGCATGGCACTTTAAGTTTCATAAAAGGGAACTCCTAGAGAATAAATTCAACAATCATATAACCTAAAAGTGAATGATTCACAAAAAAAAGTTACTTGGGATTCAAGCACCACCTGGAAGTGTATAAGCCTTGTTACCCTAGTCATTAGATTTATCTCAATTGTTAGTAACAATGTGGTAATCTTAAATTTTGCCAGCCACATTTAAACATGGTAGCCACCTACCAAATGAAAGGAATATTTATATCTTGAATTGGTCTCTTTAAGCGAAAGAAGAAAATAGATATCAAGATTAAGAAAACTAAAACAGATTTCTGATTTATTTTGGAAGGGCAAAAGTGGGCTCCAGAAATCAGATTTGGCTAAATTATGTTTCTCTCCTCAGATATTCCCAAACCTACAACAATAGTAAATTTATGTATAAGTGATAATATTTTGCATTGAAACTAAACAGAAGGGATAAGAGGCTGTCCGTCAGTGGTATCCTTTTCATGTTGGGAATGCATTGGAAAAACCATGAGTAAGAAACATTTACTGACTCACTGATCCATCCTTCTGGCTTTCTCGTCAACGATTTTGAGACATTTCTCGACGAACTGACACTTCTTCATCAGAGAGATAAGATAGGTGGTGGTATCCACGATTAAAGGTACAGAAGACCATCCTACACCTCCGAGGAACATCTGCTGCATAGAGAATGTAGAACCATAGTATATTGAGTTACTATGCTAGCTAACAACGCACTAAGCCTGTCGCAAGAAAAACACACGGAGACCTCTTTGTAAGGCCGCGATCGATGAGCAGAGACAACGGAATGAAGCTTCTTCTTCTTCTTCTTCTTCTTCTTCTTCTTCTTCTTCTTCTTCTTCAATGCGGCGTCTCCAAGCTCACTAACACCACAGTAGCATCATTTTCGCCAGGGCGACAACGGGATCGAAAGAGGGACACAGGAAAGTTCCAACATGCCTGAAATCAGAATATTGCAGCAGAAATCCACATACAACCAGAAAGGCGATCGATCAATTCCGATTCTCAATCACGAGAACTGTACCGAAGAAACGAGTTATTAGTAAGAAAGAAGAGGAGAATTGCGATCAAGAAACCTGAGAGAGAAGCCTCCGTCCGAGCGGCGACGGACGAAAAGGGTTACTGACAGGAGCCGATGTTACCTTGGGAGGGATTCGATTGGCGAAAGAGGGATTGGAAACTGGGACGAAGAGGGATTTGGAGGACGAGAAAGCCTAGGGTTTCGTCGAGGAGTAAGGAGGAGGAGGGGAAGGAGAAATAGAGGGAGTTGAGGGAGACGCTTTCGAATTTGAAGGCCGGCGGGAGGACACGTCACAGTTGGCGGGGCCAAAGCTGCGGAGTACGTTCACCGCTGGTGAGATTTAGCTCTTATGTTTCAACTTAGGTATCACCCAAAGAAAAAAAGCTCGTAACCAATTCTAACATTTTTGTAACACAAGTTAGGTTGAGTTAAAAAAATATATGAAAAATATAAAATACTTGTAATATTGCTTTGGAGTGTTCAGATGTCAATTAAGATTTCAATTAACAGTCATATGCAATTGTATATATAAGTTTTTAGATTACAAAATATGTATATATATATATATGTTAAATTTGAATTTAAAAGAATATTAAATCATAGTTATATTATTTTAAACTTCTTAAATCATAATATAAAGAGGAAAATAACTGTATCCTTTCTTCTGTCACACCTTTCTCCCTTCTCTTTTTCCTAACACCCTTTCTTCCTCTCTCTCTCTCTCTCTCTATCTCTCTCTCTCTGCCTATACTATAAGATGCTAATGATCAGCAATTACTGCCAGAGATGTTGGGGCTCGGTGAAATGAGTAGCTGAGATGGCAAGTTGTGGCATAGCAAAGTAGGAAATGAGTGAGAGAACGAGAAGTGTTGGGAGCAAAGAGGGAATCTGGTATGTGGCATCTCATAGAACATGATGCAATGGAGGTACAAATGGTGGGGTTGCAGAAGGCATTTGGAGTGATCTGCTATGAGTTGGCAACAGACTGTAGGGAGATGCTTGTGTTTCTGAAAGGTCATGCAGCAGAAATCCAAGATAAGGAAGGTGACGAGCTTCTTTTTCCGGAGCCAGCTTTTGTTGGTGAACCTTCCTGCTACCTCCATGCACCGACAGTGGAGTCATTGATCCACTGTTGTTTCGTCTCAACACGCTCCAAGTTTGGGTGGAGGAAGACATCTCTATCCATTTCAGGTTTGGGATAATGTGGTTCTCACTGGGAGTGATGAGTCTTCTTCCATCAGTCATATTAAGGCAGAATTATAGCAGAAGCTGCTACACAGGTCAAGTTCTTACAGGTCGTCTTCCTTCTTCCGACCAATCAACTCGAATGGCACATTAATGCTCCGAGATAGGTCTCTAATCGTATGGCGCTTCAGATCAAATGCCTTGTGGAACTCCATTAGTGACTTTTTGCCAGTGTATAAAGAATCTGAAAGGTGGTGTTTGAGTCCCCTTCTTTTCGTCAATGCTAAGCAACCCAAAGACTGTTGGTGCTTGTCGAGTATATTCCAGCTTTGTAGAAGCTTATCTAATGTTTGACATCAACTTGTTCACGTATATTAGGAAAGAGTCATTTCCTCAAGCACCTTCTACCATTGTGCCATGAACATCGACAGAGGTCGTGATAACATGGAGGACGAAGAAGAGTCACACACCGACATCTGAAAACAGAAACACAGTTGTGGTTTTGATGGTGATCAGAAGTGTTGGTAAAGATCGTATCCTCCTTAAACATAGCAAACATAAGTTCTCCTCGAAGACCAAGCCAACTGAATCCGATTCACAAACCCTGAGAACATGGTTTGCGCAGGTTCAGATGATGCCATGGCTTCTACACTGAGAACATGGATTATTATTACACGAACACCAGTATTTATAGGACAACAATGAATAAAGAATCATCTTATTTTAATCTGCTTCCCCCATTCAGGCAATGGCGCACTCCGGCGGCAGGCCCTGAGGAAACCGCTTGGCGTCGTTGCAGTAGTTGTAGATCATGTAGTTCTTCTGAACCCATCTCATCCTCCCCTGGCTGCTCAAGTCGAGCTCCTGGTTCCACCACCCGCTCTTGGTGGAGCCGCCGCACTTGGAGCTTCCCCGGACGCAGGCGTCGGCGTTGAAGTTCCTGTAGGAGGCGACGAAGGGTGCCTTGCTCCAGTCCGTCTTCACCAGCCCGCCCCTGGTCGCCCAGTCGTCGGCGTTCCATAGGCTGGAGTAGATCCTCATGGGTTGGTTCTTGGGGAAGGCGATGCCCCTCGATTCCAGGTTCTTGAAGTCTCTGATGGGAGTGCCGTCGACCATGAAGCTGAAACCATCGCAAAACCCATGGTGAGTTTCTACACCTTGTGACGAGCTCGTCGTCGAGGTCTTACATGACGTGTCTCGGGTTCCACAGGATGGAGTAGGTGTGGAAATCCTCGGTGGGATCGAACCACAGCTTGAACTGCATCTCCCTGTTCCCCTTCCCCTGGGTGAACACATTGGTGTGCAGAGTGTAAGGGTCGCCGCTGAGGTTGCCGAGGAACTCGAAGTCGATCTCGTCATGAGTCGGTCCCTGAGAAGACAGCTGCAAGAACAGAGGGCCACATCAGCATCAGCTCCGGCAACCACCGTCATGAGTCGGGGGGCGAAGAGCTTACGTAGTAGGCGGTGACGGTGCCGGCAGAGTTACCGGGGACGAGCTTGATCTGCATGTCGATCTTGCCGAACAGGTACTCGTTCTTGGACTGGAAGCCGGAGCCAGAGGTCTTGTCGAGGGAGAGGGTGAGGAGCTGGCCATTGTTGAGGATCTTGGCGCGGCCATCGCCCCAGGTGACGTCGAAGTCCTGGTACAAATTACCAGCAGCGGCGACGGCCACCAGGGCGCAAAGCCCCAACACGAACAGCACGGCCATTACTGCGAGAGTGTGGCGTAGAAGCAAGAGGAGGATGGGAGGAAGCTGATGAGGACTGCGGTGGTGGTGATGGCGAGTACTTATAGCTGTGGAGAGCAGTGATTGGATGATAGCGAGCTGTGAGCTGGCAGTGGACTGGAGACAGGTGGGTGTGTGTTGTGTGGTGTGGACGCGGCTCATTACAAGGGGAACAGTGATAACGTGGACGGAGAGAAGCTTCCGTGTGTTGAGTGCCTTCACCTACAATTCAAATCCCCCGCTTAATTTAATGTGGTAACGATGATTAACTCCACTGAGAGAATTTTAGTAGTTAATGAAGTGATTTAGATTTCGTGATCTATGAAAAAGCTGCCTGTCGTGTACGGACGTACATACATATATATATATATAATTATATTATGGCACGTGACAATTAGGTTGCCTATTAATTATGATTGTGTATTGTTCTCGTGATCATGCGAGAGAAAAAGACCAAAAAGGACTTATGAGGTTTATTATAGCGTATGTCACGTGCCATCCACCGGTTCAATTTAGGGTTTTGTATATTAGGAATCCAATTCTAACATTTCAATCCATTTCACTTCTAGTGATATTATATATATATATATATATATATATATATATATATATATATATATATATATATATATATATATATATATATATAGTGTATAAACCAATGATTACACCAATGGTTTGTGACAATTATCACACATGAAACGGTGGTACAACGTAATGCTACGTAAAGGCATGTCGCATTCGAGGTCATTCATGAGGTGCGAAGGGGTAATTTGGTCAATGTGGTCGAGTTCCTTTCCCTCCTCGCTGGCGTATAAGGACACGTACCAACTACTGCGTCTGATAGGGCACGAATGAGAGAGCACGAAACCAATAGCAAACCATTCATCCTAATAATTTGCAATCCGTATTTGTTGGCACATTAAAATGACACGTTTGGGTGAAATATACTCACCACAATGTTTTGGAGGAAGCATTCACGATTTCACCACGAAATAGTACATAATGATTCGAAATAATAATTAGTATAATAAAGTGGGGAGGGTCCCACATGCCTTGAAAGCAATCAGGGAGAGGCATTAGATGCATGAAAAGTAGTTCTGTCTCCTATCATGTAGATGTCGAATTGTGGCAACTTATGATTACTGTGGAACTTTAATATAATTAATGATATTTAATGTTATATTAAAAGCATGCATTCTATATAAATAATTTTTGTATAATTTAAATAGGGTGATTTTTTGGGAAAAAAAAACCTCTTTGTACTTTTTTTCCTAAAAATATCCCTTTTTTACTTTTTTTTTAAATTATATCTTATTTCAAATAATATCGGAAACACTCTCGCCCGAGTGATACTATTTTTTATCAATTTTGAAGAGAGACCAATTCATAGGGTACATTCGGCTATCATTATATTATTTTTATTAGGTGCTAAAAATACTATAAAGATATTAAAAAATAATATAAATGGCATTATACTTTGTCATTACTCGTAATAGCAACTTTCACTATATCAAATTTTTAGACTTGAAGTTAATTTTGTAGAGATTAATTTTATTTATACATTTACAGTATTTTTAAGTAAACTCTATAGTATTTTTATTACGGTGATCAAAATACTATAACATATTTTTATTAGGATTAATGAGAGATATTTTTATATTATTCGAAATAAGACATCATTTCGGGAAAACAAAACAAAAGATTTTTTTAAATATTATATATATATGTATATATGTGTATATATATACATATATATATATACATATATATATATATATATATATTTATGTATAAGGTTAACTGTTATTTTTTATAGAAGACAAGCACACAGTACTGTCTTTAAGTCTCTCCTAGCTGGACAGGTGAATCCAGCTTGGCTTGTGTCAGAACAAAAGGCAGGAGCCAAAGGTAGCCAACAAAATCCAGCTTAGATGCTTGTTTTTTATTATCTTAAATGTTTCAATATATGATCTAAACACATGAAAAATTGATATAGTGTTGATTTAATTGGCTTTTGAAATAGTTGTGGATGTTAATTTGAATGTCTTGAGGAGAAAAAAATTTGCACCTAATAATGTGTGTCTTTAAACTAGAAGGGTCCACTCATACATACACAAGCATTGAAGAGGTTGTAGAGGCTTTGAACTCACCCCTGAAGAGATAGACATAGAACAGCACAATGCAGTGGCCACTGGTCCACTGTCATATCAAGTCAAAAGTGAAATATAAAGGATTGTCACCATGATGATTGATGATGACTGTGGGAGCCTTTCACTTATTTAGAAGTGATGCTCAGATGATGAC